GCAACCCTCAGTGTTGCCCCCGCACCGGGCCGGGGACCGGCAACGGGATTGCAACCCTCAGCGTCGCCCCCATGCCTCGCTCAGCCAGTGAGCGGGAACCGGTCTGTATGTGGGATCCGAACCCTCGAGCAGGAGCGCCACCGCGCTTCCCAAGCGGCGCACTATCCAGTGCGCCACCGGGCCGGCCCTCAGCTCATACTTTTGAAATGCAAGTGGGCAGATCTGGGAAATCATTTTTAAAAACTAAATTGGTTTAGTGAATCCCCTGTTTAACTGGGTAGTTTTTTCATGTTTTCCTCTTTGAATGTTTCTGTTTGTTTGTTTTAAATAAGCACACTCATATCTTGTAGTTGCTTCTTGGAAATGATGCTACCTACTCTCCTTTTTAAGGCATATCCAGATGGAAGTAGCAAAGAGAAGAGAAGAGCAGCAATTGCCCAGGCCTTAGCTGGGGAAGTCAGTGTGGTGCCTCCATCTCGTCTCATGGCATTGCTGGGACAGGTAATTAACAACTTGTAGAACTGAAATTACCCCAAACTCCTCGTATGATTTCCTGTATATAAACTATATGTCTGAGCTAAAGAAATCAGACATCCTTAGAATTGGGGACTGCATGGAGCTGCTTATACCAACAACTGTGCCATGGCATCCTCCCTCTTTCCCGGGAAAGGCAATATAGATTAGTGGTTAAGAGCATAAGCTGTAGAGATGGTTGGTTAGAATTAGGGTGACCATAGAATTTATCATCTCATCTGGGATATCTTTGAGGGCACTGTTGATCATCATGCCAGGTGCAAATGGGAACTGTCCCAGGCAGATTGGAACAAATGTTTACCCTAGTTAGAATCCACGCTCTTTCACTTACCAGCTGTATGGTTTTGTCAGGTTATTTAACTTTTTGAGCCCACTTATTCATTTTGTTGTAGTAAGGATTAAATGATATAATGCTCATAAAGCACTTCATACATTGCCTGACACCTTGTAAACATTACATGGTAGCTGCTGCTGCTGATTCTTTTTTTAAATTAGTAGTAGTATTGCTAGCATTGTCATTATTATTATGAAGCTACTTAGAGTAACAGATGTTTTATAAATAGCAAAGGGCACAGGTGATTGATAGGATGTAAATAGAATTTTGGCATTAAATCTGCATTTAGAAAAGGACCAAGAAGCTATTTGTTGCAGGCTTGCAGTGATTCTGAGATTCAAAATCAAGCTGCTTTTTTCTGAATTTACTTTTTATTTTTTATCAAAATGATGGATATACATGATTTAAGTAGTACCTCAGCGCTTATGATAAAAAGTAGTCCCGTGTGCTTCCCTTCTCCACCTCTGATTCTAACTTTCCACAGTCATTTCTTACTGTCCTGGCATTTACTTCCATAGCTGAATATAATGTTTGTACTCATATTACTTGATTTTTTTTTCTTTTTTATGACATTAGCTATTGACTTTCTTCAATGGAAGATGATTTATTTATTTGTTTTTTTGGTTTTTTGTTTTTCTTTGTATTTTTTGTTTCTTTGGTAGATGATTTATTTCACACTCTCCACAACACACACATTCTTCTTTCTCCAGATTTTCAGTATAGTTATATTACAACTTTTAGTTAAATTAATATTTAGTGCTTACGTAATTATCTTTATGTAAATATTGCCCACAGCTAGAAAATAATTACACTTAATTTCTTGCATAGTTTTTATGATTCCTTGTGATAACTACTTTTTTTTTCTTTTGCCTAGTTTTTTATATACGCCCCTCTACTAATTCAGCATGCATCTTTCTACCAGAACTGTAGAAAGTCCTCTTTTTCCCCTTTGCTGATATTCTCCCTGAGGCTTTTCTCTTTTTGTTCCCATCAGGACTAATTCTTTTGGATTGCTGCACAGTTATTGTACAGGGACTTCTTTCATCTTCATACTGGGAATTTTTGGCTTCTTGTGTTGGGTCATAGATTTTAGATCCCTTATTTTCCCTTGTTCTGATGGAGCACTTAGTCTGGTAACTTCTGAGAAAGGGTTCATAGATGTAAATTTTTGAGATTTTACTTCTGTCTGTAATATCTTGTATCTCTTTCTCTCTATTGGAGCTTTAAAAATTTTGTTTTCCTTCCTGTGTTATCCCTGTATTGTCCCTGTTTTCTGTGAATTCTCTCCTGCCATTTGTTTGTTGCCTATGTGTAGAAGCTTTACTCAAATATTTAGTGATCCCTGGCTGTTCAAATATAAGCATGAAACACTAAAAAGCTGTTTGGAAGCTATATGTTGTGTTGAGGTAGAAGGAGTAGTTTGGGAGCTGATGGGATTCAGCCTGGAATGATGCAGTGGGGATCCCCATGTGTCATCTACAGAAATATTCTCTTGGATTGGTCAGCTTTTCTAGAGAGTAGGCCTCTAGTTCCTGCTTGGGGGAGGAATAAACCATATTCTGGGAGTCAGAGTTGGGATGATACTGGTGGAGGTGGAAGGTAGAAAAATCTCATTGTTTAGCATACCAGTTTGCACCAGATCCCCCTGTTTTCATTGTGGCTTCTCACCTACACCCTGCCCTCAGCTCTACCCAGAGCCCAGGACCTCAACCTTTTCAGAAGATAAGTCACCTGACTTCTCTTAAGGCTAGGCTGAGGGAGTTACCTGTTGCATAGAATTAGGAGAGGTCCTGGGAGCTAATTGCTCCTTATGCAGACTTTATTATTGCCTGTTTTTTCAGCCTTATGCTGTGCCTTGTCTTTGAAGGGTATATGATATTCATCTAATTCCTAAGTCTTCTTGGAGTAGTGCAAGGTACTTTGCCTTGCTCCTTGTGGCTTCCCCATCCCCACCTTGTGTAAGTAGGTTTCAGTTTTCTTTGTTCTTGGTTACCACTGGTCCATTCACTTTTCAGCTTCTGAAGTTTAACTACCATTTCTTTTTTACTGTTACCTCTTTTTCCATTCTCTTTGTCTTTTTGGGTATGTACCTTTTTTATTCCTTTATTATCATCACTTTAGTGGATTTTCTAGGGGGAGTGGAAATAAAAATTATGTGTTCTTCCACATTTAATTGGTTAGATGTGAGGAATGAGTGGTGCTTTGACTCTGGGTTGCCCGTCAGGTTTCTGGCTTGAGTGACTTGGTAGAGAATATAAGAAGGGCAGATTTTGGGGGGATGGTGAGTAGCGATGGGATGGGGCAAATGATCTGTTTTTGGATGTGCCAATTTTGATGTTCCTATGAGACATACAAGTGGAAATGTCCAGTATAGGCACTGGGGTTTGAGAATCTGGACGTTAACCTAGAGGTTTTGGCTAGAATTATGGATTTGGAAATTGTAGTAGTAGTTGAAACTATAGATGTAAATGTGATTACCCAGGGAAAGCATGTAGAATTACAAAAGTAAAAATTTGAGAAGGAAGCCATAGGTAACACTTATAAAGTCAACAGGGCAAACAGAGAAAGGAAACAGAGAAAAGAACAGCCAGAGAGGGAAAAAGGAAACTAGAGAGAATAGGGTAAGAGAAACCAAGACAGAGTTTTAAGTACAAGAGTGGTATCAAGGACAAAAGCAACAGAGAACATGATGAGGGTTTTGACCATTGGGATATCTGAGATGCACTACCAGTAGCAAGGTGGGGACAGAAGCTATATTGCAGTGAGTTAAGGTGTGAATTTAACTGAGAGGTGAACACAGTGAATGTAGATGGTTCTTGAAGCTTGGTGGTTAAGGGAAGGAGATATGGGGGCAATGGGGAGAGAAGAGGGCAATAGAAGCTACAGAAGAATACAGGATAAAACATGGTTTTTTTCTTTTAAAGATGGTAGTGATTTGTGATTGTTACAGGCTAAGCGTAAAGAAAGAGCCAGTAGAGTGCCAATTAATTGGAGAGTGGTCCTTGGAGATGCAGGTTCTCTAGTTATTTCAGTAAAACATGAAAAATAAGTAAGATAAGAATTTTGGAAAGAAATAAACAAAATTAATATATTTATTATTTATTTATTTATTTTCCGATATACAATGTGGTTAATTATTGTTGCCCATTACTGAAACCTCCCTCCCTCCTCCCTCTCCCCCCTCCCACCCAACAGTGTCCTTTCTGTTTGCTTGTCGTACCAACTTCAAGGAATTGTAGTTGTTATGTCTTCTTCCCCCCCCGCAGTTTTTTTGTGTGTGTGTGTGAATTTACTTATTTATTTTTAGCTCCCACCAATAAGTGAGAACA